AAATTATCCCAGTAGTCTGACAGATTCCATCCCAGTAAGTTACCAACTTTGGGCAGGACCAAAATACATGAGAATGATTGGCGTTCCGATGTCCAAATTGTCTCCAACATTGCTGTTCTTCTCCTCTATGTCTATTAGTAATTTGCGGTGTAATAAAGTATTTAATTAAGCACTTCCATCCAAATTCCCTCCATCTTTTAGAACTGATAGACGTCTGTTGTGCCACACACATAGAAAGCCAAGCATCCTCTGTAATTTTTACTCCCATTTAAACTTAACATCTTTTAATACAAAAACACAGTGGACTGCCTCGGCACCCCGACCACCTGGTTTAGCAAGTTTTCTGGGGAAAACCCTGTTAATCGTATGTGTTAATGCCTTAATATATATATACTATGCTTGAGACATAGGACACAGTGTGTTGGTGACATTCTTGTAAAAGTCACCTCTAAACAAATCCAAATCATTTCAGTTTCAAACACTGTAAATATTAGCCAGTTATAATACAACCCAACCAAACTTGTTCCCATCATTCATCTGTATAATCCATATCGATGCTTTCTACCTGTGCTGCACCTTGATCCTGGTGAGTCCGTCTCCAAAGGTCATAGGTGAGAAACCGCGGCTGTAGGCGGCAAAGCACACTCATTATTTTCCATCTTGTTTTAATATGTGACATTGCTTCATGATGTTGCTGGAAAAGACTAAAGCAACATTTCATTTGGCTGTCTGTGATAGCTGTCAGGTATTTTAGTGGACAAGTCCAGACCACTGAAGACATCCTCCTCCAGCCACTCCTCCTCTCCCATTAGGCTGTAAGTGAAGGCGGAAGTTTGTCCGATGTGCGTGCGTGCGTGGATGTTGTGTTGATGTGTGTGTGTGTGTGTGTGTGTTTCTGCTGCGTGGGATATCACTTCAGCTGTATTGGGGTCAGGTTGGGAAATATAGAAGCTTCCAGGCACTCAACACATAATTGAAAATCTATTTCGCTCAAAGTGAGAAGAGGGAGCGAAAGAGTGGAGAACAAATGAAAGAAGGAAGCAAGACGAGAGGAGGGGAAGGTGGCGGAGGACGACGAGGAGGGGGAGGCGGAGGAGGAGGAAGAGACAAAAAAAAGATAATAGGGAGGAAGGCTGGAAACGGAGAATGAGAAAGATATTATTTTAAAAGGCGGAGTGTGAGACAGTGGAGGAAGTAGGTGGAGGTGAGGGAAGGACAAAATCACTTCTTCTTTGCCACGCTAAGTGGATAAAAAAGTGAGGAAGATGGCTGAGAGCAGTTCATTTTTCCATCCAGGTAGAGTCGTCCTCCCTGGTTTTATCCAGTCCCTTCTGATCCGTCACAGTTTGTGATCTTTACCGGTAACACGTGAACCCCCGTTTTCAAACGCCTCATTACAATTTGGAATGAATCTGTCACTTTTAGACGGCATTCACGGAGAGGAAAAACAACTGTTGAAAGTCGCATCAGGAGCTATTTAAAATTAGCATTTTTATTGGCACAAATACAGAAACAGAGGCGTCGTCACACACACAGCGAAATGATGCATTTTTGAATATGGCTCCTGCTAACAGTGATCAATGTGTCTGTTAGCAACTTTTCAGCGCTCCACCTTCACCTGGCGACCAAAGTAAATATGGCCTGCTGGAAGAAAATTCCAGCCACTTAGAAATAACCTGTTCATTCTGAGATCTGCATGTGATCCTTATCATCACCTTCCTAAAATAAAAGCTTAAGTCACTTTTTTTGCCAAAAGTGATCAAATAATTCAGTTGCACATTTAATTTTGGATACATCTATACAAGTAATTAATTTATTAGCTTTTTCCTGATGCTTCTGTCTAGATGGTTTTTTTTAAAGGTATGTAAAATCAACTCTTTTGAGCTTTACATCATGTTATGATGTTTTTTAATCAAAAACAGGAGTGTTGCTTTGATTCTTTCATGCATGTTTCAGAAATCCTGTAATCTCCATGGCAACCATTCAGATGTGCAAAACTCCTGGGTGGACCTAGCGCCATTTGCTACTTCTCTAAGCAGTGGCGGTGAAAAAGTTATTACAGGGTTAATTGTGGGAGAATTTCTTAAAGAGACAGAGGCCTGCCTAATTTCAAGTTGAATTTCTCTTATTTGTCATATTTGATATACAAGTCATTTTTTTGGAACTACTGAAGTTAAAATGGTTACTTGATTGTGCTGTAAATTGGAACTATGTGATTGGAAAAAAACATAATGCTGCCCCTTTAAATAAATATCAAAATCTAATTTGGAATATTTCCATCAAATTGTCATGTGAATTTTCTAACTTTTAAAATGCAAATGCAAAAACAACTTTGCTCTGAGTGGGAGGAGTGGACTTCTGCCTCTGGTGAAGCACAGACCCACCAGTTGATGGGACATTTCGCTACGTCAAAATATATTCGGCTAATGTGTGTCCATCTCCCATTGAGTGCATTAACTCTATTCTGAAGCTTTTTCTGAAACTATTTCAAGCGAGAGTAAAAGTTTCTTTGTGAGGATGTTATTCCAAAAATTACCGTTTCCGTCAACATTTTCTAAATGCAATATTTCAAAATTTGCGTAATGACAACATTGATAAAAACATGGCTACTGCCAGTCAGTACTAACATTATTTTTCATCATTATTTTGTTGCTTTTCTCATTGGGACTCATTTATCCGTTTATTGCAAACCACAAACATTTGTTTAAATCCTCCGTAGATTCTTAGTCTTTCCTTAATAACTCCTTAATGCTGACCTTGCCAATAGTTCATTCACAGCTCCGCGATCATATGTTAAATATATTTACTCAATAAAACCTATATAAAGATAATATAAAATGTTTGAAATTACAGATAATTTTTTTTGTTCCTTTCTTCACGTCTGTATGTGTGTGATAGATGGGAATGTGTGAACAAGCGTGTGTGTGTGTGTGTGTGTGTGTGTGTGTGTGTGTGTGTGTGTGTGTGTGTGCCTGTGCCTGAGGCATCTTCATCTCATCAGTAGAAATCTATTCTGCTCAGACTCATCCAATAAGGTTCGTAATGATACTCCAGTCTAATATTGGGACTGTCCAAATTGAACACATTTAAACTTTAATGCAAGTCAAGTCCTGGGGAGAATGTAATCTGCTCCACTCAGTGTATGGATGCGCGTGTGTGTGTGTGTGTGTGTGTGTGTGTGTGTGTGTGTGTGTTTTAAAGGTTGGGAACCCAGGCACATTTGTTTCTGTGCTTATAGTAGCACTTGGGTTAGCTTCCTCTGTCGCTGCACTAATGAATTTAAATATGTTGAATTACTTTAAAGGGGATGGAGCGGTGAGATGAGAATTAGTGTCAGGTGTTGTGAGGAGGTCGTCGTCTGAGCGGTTACAGCGACATAGAATCCAGTAGAGCTGAGTTTTGCCCCACCCCCCCCCCCCACAAACGTTTTGTAGTTTTGGTGCTTCTTCTCAAATTTAATCTTAAATTAATCCAAAAAGGCTGTGTAACTGGGTATCAATGAAAAAGAAAACATCATGTGACTCAAAATCAATTTTATATATAAAGCACCAAAAAAAGTTTATTTTTTATAAAGTTTTGTACAGTGCTAAAATGGATCAAAGCAAGACACACAAAACAACAATAGAACAAAAACCAATAAAGGCAGAATAAAACATTATATAAATATTTTGATCAATCAAGTATCTATGCTGCCTTCACTTGTTAAAAAAAGCTATATATCAAGACTTAAAAGAATATTACTTGTAATTTGAGTCCTTAAAATTCGGCGTCTACTCTTTAAAAACTCTTTCTTTCTGAAACCCCGCCTTCAGGAAGTCATCACAACATGGCTGCTCTACTAATCTTTTAACAATCTTATTACCAGCGTTGCATTGAGAAGTAGCTCATTTAATGAGCTCAGCTGATGTTCGGTTGCACCAGATGTTTGCTAATTGCTGCTGGCTAGTCTGAAGGAGCTGAGCCCCCACTTAGCTCCTCAAAGAGCGATCCCCCCTGATCGCTCTTTGAGGCAGAATTATGTAAACTGCAGCTCTGAGGAAGAGCTTTGTCCTCAAAGGTGGAGCTAGGTTCATCCGGGAATCTTGCACAGCCCAGTAGTTGCCATGGAGATCAAAAGATTTCTCAAATATGCATGAAAGAATCAAAGCAACACTTGTTGCAACATGACGTAAAGTTCAAAAAGGTTAATTAAAAACGAATTACAATTAAATAAATTGCTGTTATATTCAGCATCATTTGTTTCTGAATCTCTTTTTTGAATTGGATCTCGTTGACATTTTGCTGGATGTACAACTGGACACTTTAAAACATGCATTACAATACATAAAGTTCTGTTAAGAGGAATGGGCCAATATGCCGGCGAGCTGTTGTGAGAAATTTGCGGAAGGAAATTCAAAATGTTTGACCCAAGTCATACACTTTAAAAGACAAGTTTCCCTGATATTGACCAAATGTGCACAAAAATCTCAAAACAATTGTAGAAATGCAAAATCTGGAATTAAGAAAATGCAAATGATTTTGGTAATTCTAACTAACCTGAAACAAGAGAAGCTTGGTCTCATTTAACTTCAGACAGAAACAAAATGTGCTTGTCCTTTTATTTGCTTCATGTAAATATTTGGTTTTAACTGTGTATAGTAATGACTTTATCACTTTATATTTAACTATATTTGTATGCATTGTCAAAAGAATATGAACCTCTCCTTAAAAAAAAAATCAAAGGTTTTATTTAATTACACTTAGCTATAAAATTCTAGGTTTCATAAATTTGTCAGAAACAGGCTGCTTGAATGGGGGACAGTGTTCTCCCACTTGTCCGTGAAGAATTCTCTTCCTCCTTTATTTCCTCTTCCTTCCCAGGATGTCGGGGTCAGATCAAAGGGATGGCAGCGACTTCTGACCGCCTGACCTCCGTTTACCGGCTTTTTACGAGCTAACAGGGTGAGGATCCATTAGCCACCTCAGCAACAATAAAAACAAAGATGGAAAAACCAGAGCCAAAGGTGAAGGAAATAACAGCTATCATCAGAGTAGAGTTCTGATAGGTGACAACTGATGCACTAAACAATAATTGTGTATTTAAAAAAAATGAATAAATAAATAAAGCGTCGATTGAGATTTGTAACAAAGCATTAATACTTTCATACATGTTTTTCAGATTGAATTCAGATCCTTGTTTTCACAACTAATGAAAATGATCGGGTAAACCGAGCGTTCCCAGAGTGCTGCTTACTGCTGTGCGAAGTGCATAAACGGGGCTAACCTGCATTTTAAAGCGGCCCTCGGCAACTGCTCCCCTCTTCCCTCTCCCCTTTTTTTTTTTTTTTGTCTTTCTCACAATGAGTAACTTATCTAAACCAT